CAGGGCAGCCCAGCCCAGGCAGGAGCCCCGTGTTGGCGTCCACGTGGCGTGTCATTTGCGGGGAGATCGCTGAGCACCACGGCCCCTGGGTGGGGGGTGCAGGATCCCGGGAGATCGGACCTCGCTTGGGGGTCCCCCCGAGCGTCCTCATCGGGGCGCTTGGGGACCAGAGGGCCTTCCTGATGCGGACTTGTTCTCACCAGGTGCGCGCCTGCTCCCCGGGGCGCGGGGCTGCCATGGCCCCCAGCCACCTGTCGGTGCGGGAGATGAGGGAGGATGAGAAGGCGCTGGTGCTGGAGATGCTGAAGGTGAGGGCGGCTGAGCCCCAGCCCCTGAGAGGCGCGCTCCTCCTGAGGCGCTTCTGGCGGCCCCCTCTGCAGCGGTTCTCAACCTGTGGGTCGCGACCATCGGAAAACACATATAGCATATCAGATATTTACATTACGATTCATAACAGTAGCAACATTACAGTTATGAAGTAGCAACGAAAATAACTTTATGGTTGGGTCACAACATGAGGAACTGGATTAAAGGGGCGGCATTAGGAAGGTTGAGAACCACTGCTAGCACCTTCCTTCCCTTGGGGTCCGAAGGTTTTCACACCCAGGCTGTGGGGGACTCCACCTCCCACCTCACACGCTTCCGAGCAGTCGCAGCGGCCTCAGCCCTGTACTCCCTGCTCCTCTCTGGCTTCCAGAGCATGTGCGGTTTCTGGCCCGGGGCAGGCCCCCGCCCCCCCCTTGTCCTGTTCCGGCCTCGGCCTTCCTGGCCTCCCTTCCCTTGGGGTCCGAAGGTTTTCACACCCAGGCTGTGGGGGACTCCACCTCCCACCTCACACTCTTCTGACCAGTCGCAGCGGCCTCAGCCCTGTACTCCCTGCTCCTCTCTGGCTTCCAGAGCATGTGCGGTTTCTGGCCCGGGGCAGGCCCCCGCCCCCCCCTTGTCCTGTTCCGGCCTCGGCCTTCCTGGTGCCTCCTGCTTGTCCCTCCCCTGAAGTGGACGTCCCCAGAGCTCCCAGCTCATCCCCTTGCTCACTCATGCCAAGCCCAGTGTGCCAGGTGTGGTGCTGGCGGGTGCCTAGAGCAGGTGGTCCTACTGTGTGCATGACCACCTACTGTGCGCAGGCTCCTCTGCCCGTCCCTCTGCCACAGGGCCCCCCACACGCCTTCCTTTCCCCTTTGGACCCCTCCCCAGGTCCCTCCTGGCCAGGGCCCTCCTCTCCTAGTCCCCGGTGCCCACAGGAACCCTGGTGTCATGGAAAGCCAGGCCCCTGGCTCTGACTATCCCTTCCCACCCACAGGCTGGTGTGAAGGACACGGAGAACCGAGTGGCCCTGCACGCCCTGACACGGCCGCCCACCCTGCTGCTCCTGGCGGCAGCCAGCAGCGGCCTGCGCTTCGTCCTGGCCTCCTTTGCTCTGGCCCTCCTCCTGCCTGTGCTCCTGGCCGTGGTGGCCCTGAAGCTGGGCCTGCGGGCCCGGTGGGGCTCGCTGCCTCCGCCGGGCGGCCTAGGGGGGCCCTGGGTGGCAGTGCGGGGCTCTGGGGATGTGTGCGGGGTCCTGGCCCTGGCCCCGGGCTCCCACACTGGGGACGGGG